AACATCAATGATATGATTGCATTTCAAGCAGGGGCAGTCTTTGAAGAAAGCTTTGGTAGCAGGGACAAATTAGGCACTGTTTCCCCAAAATATGGATGTCTCTCAGATTAGCACACTTCCTCACGAGCATGTAGGGTGGTATGGAATCCTGAATTAGATAAAAAGTAGGAACACCTCTAATTTGACAATCTTTCCGACTGGCAGCCGTTCACAATTAGGACAAGAGCAAAATGGCATAACTTGGCATTTCAGAACTATTGTAACCTGTTATTCCCCTTCATGAGGAGCCCTCTCAGATTTCACAATTCAACCCACGGTTCTGTTCAAAGGGAAGGATGCTGGTCTCTTGTGACTGCTTCAGAGGTCAGCAGCCTTTTTGTTGTCTTGAAAAGACGGTCTGGATAATTGCAGGTCAATTTCTACCTTGATCGGATCATCCCACCGACTTATCCTGACCTGTCAATGCCTCTCGCTTCTGAGTGCAGGGTGTGGAATCGCGGCACCGCCAACAATGTAAGCCACGTCAAAAATTGAACCATGGATATCCGTGACACTGCAATGCGAATACTACCTGCAAAATTGCAATGCATTGAAAGTCATCCGCCACCTTATATCAGTCGCATCGTAACGGTCGAAACATGCTCTCACAGCCAGGTGAATCTTCACATCAAAATTTTTCAGTTTTAGTTTTACTGTCTGGTTCGGGAAGCTGAGGGCCGGCTGTTAACACGCGCTCGTGTTGAGAGAGGTCAAATTGCCCCCCCCCCCCGAAGGTTTTTCGAGAATGGTTTCCGAACAGCACGGCGTATCCGCGCCAAATTTTAGATAGCTGTAGAATAAATAACGTATCGCTTGGTATCACGAATTTGTATGTAGATTGCAATGCCGCTGACCTATGGCAGGTCAAATCAGGCCATGGTTTCAGCGAAGTCAATTTCTAGGAAGTCTTTCAATTTAATGCAACAACAGAGTGATAGACAAAGCCATACATCTCCGAGATGCTTTCTTAGGCAACACAACAGGTGAATGAGCAAACTACATTGAACTAAAGGCAGGTAGGAAGGTCACACCAAGGTCAAAACCAACCTGATTTGTTACCCTAGGGCTTGCTGTAGGGGATAGATTCTGGTACTCGTTTCGAATTTATTGATAGCAGAAGCCGCATTATGCGTCTTCCATGGACTTCTTAGAGGTCAGAATAGGTCATTGACCTAAAATGACCCGGTAAACATTTTGTTTTAGGAACATTCTGCCTCGCGTAATCGTTGTCGCCTAGTCAAATGCAAAGCTCAAAGCAATCTTGCATGATTTTGGCCACCATGACCCTCAAAGGTCAAACAAGGTCACTGACTATACATGAGCATGTGACCTTTTGCTTAAAAACAGCTATCTAGGTTCTCGAGACTCTTTGGAGGCCAACCTGGAATTTGACCTTGTTTCACCTTATTTGACCCAAAGGTTACGACCAAAGAACCTCAATTTTTTGTCCTAAGGGAAATCACGTACAGGTCAACATACCCTGTCAATTTGGTGTTTCTAGCTTTCTTAGTTTCCGAGATCTCGGGGGGTCAAATTGACCCTCCACTCGAGCGAAAGGTGTCGTGTAAAAACTGCGAATCGACCGACCGGCCGGGCCAAAGGGAATACACTGATTTGTTGCCGACCTGTTACCGAATGGGCCGACTAGCTAATAATCATAGGATATTTTTGCCACCGGGTTGGAATGAAACCTAGGAAAGATATGGTGCCGTAGAGTACGGTAAAGAGTCCTTACGGAAACGTTTTCTGGTGTTGTATGACAAAATGTCTTACCATGGAGGCATAATATATATGTTTGGAGACCTTATGTTACGTTTCGCATAGTGTGCCGTATTATTGCGTCTTACCCGTCAGCAAAATTTGCCTTCCAAAAACATTTTTGGCACCAAGCTTTGCATGAATGCATACATTTTTGTCGCCGACCTTTTACACTAAGTCGGCTACCACCCCAGACGAAAAACACGTGCCCGACTACGTAATTACCTATTATCCTTATTTGGGTCCAATCGACCCGGTGCGGACCGAAGAAATAAATTGGCCTACGGGTGAAAACGGATTTAAAACGGCATTCAAGTTTCTTGGCGAGACTTCGTGAGGCACCGTTGCGCCGGAACTGCTGAGGTAAGCTGATGTCGAGACACCCATATTTTTTGCGCAGACCTGTTTTCCTGCGCCGTCATGCCTGTAGTTCGTTCATTCCTTGAAGCGTTCCCGTTACCAGCAGCCCAGGGCCCGAATTTCCCTCCTATTTCCACACAGCCCACACGGAACCGCCGTATCTCTGGCGTCATGGTCGCGATGAGACCCGAGCCATGAATAGGGCGCCGCGGTATGCCGCCGCCGTCATGGTCGCGGTGAACCCGTGCCGTCAGCAAGGCGCGGCATTCACACAGAAGGTAACGAGCTTCGGATCCGTCACAGCGCCGTCAGACAGCTGACCGCGGCGCACGTGACCCGAGCCTGACCCCGTGACCCGCTGCCATGGCCGGCGCTGGCCGATCCGTGTCGTCTGACCTACAAATGACCGTGACGCGCTCACTCGCACGTAGCCCGTGGCCGGTGCAGGCCTCCTCTCTGCCGGTTCATCCCCATCGCCGTTGTAAAATTGTGCAGTGATTTTCCTCATACGTGACCCAGGGTGTGACAACTGGTGCCGGCCAGCCTCGATGACAGGCAGTGACATGGCAGAATCAGCTATGATGCCCCTGGCTGCATTAAAGCTCACTTGTGTTTGATGTGGAACTGACGTACGCAAATAGGCTCAGAAGGAAAACGTGCGCTGCATCGAGCGTTGGGCCACCGTCGTGCTGCCCGCTGGCCGCACGCTTCGTCGGAGCGCTAGACGTGATCGTGGCTCGCGCAGCCCGCTGCACCCGGCTAAGGCTCCCGCACGTCTGGTCGGAGCGTTAGACGTGACCGCGGCTCACGCAGTCCGCTGCACCCGGCTGAGGCTCCCGCACGCGTGGTCGGAGCGTTAGACGTGACCGTGGCTCGCGCAGCCCGCTGCACCCGGCTAAGGCTCATGGAAGAAGACTACCATGAAATTCTTGTGTGCGTGGATATACGTAGTTTTCGCGCAGGCGTCTTTGAAATTTCTGCCTGCTGTGGTAGCCCAGTGTTTAAAGCTGTGTGCAGAAAAATTTAATCTAATATTTGTTACAACTATAGAGGCATGCAAAAGTGACTGGATGGCATGAGGCCACTTAACAAAATTTCCAACATCAGGCCAGGACTAGGGTTTTACGCTCCCGATGTCCACGTAGTTCTCGATGAAACATGTCATTCTCTGTCAGTGTTTCCAATTTCCATTCTTGAATTACATTATTTCACCAGCGCAATACATTATGGCTTTTGTCGTCGGGTATTGATTCATGTTGCAGTTTGCGATATTTCTCTAACAAAAGCCTGTATACCATGAACCAATGCTTCCTTCATGCCAAATGAGGTAATGAGCTGTCAATAATGCGTATTGCAAATTGCATCGCAGAATTATTAATGTAGAACCTTAGACATGTCAGCGGATCCTATCCCAAGACTTGGACATCGCACGCCTGCAATCCAAAACTGAGCTTCAGCCTCAAGCTGAACGGTTCGCCCAACACCAGTGTGTGTGTGGGGGGGGGGGGGGGGGCAACTATCTACACCAGCCGGGGTCAGCCGTGGCACCGGTCTGGCACCAGCCGGGGTCGGCGGTGGCGTCGGTCTAACACCAGCCGGGGCCGGCGGTGGCGCTGGTCTGACACCAGCCGGGGCCGGCGGTGGCGCTGGTCTGGCACCAGACGTGGTCGGCGGTGGCGTCGGTCTAACACCAGCCGGGGTCGGCGGTGGCGTCGGTCTGACACCAGCCGGGGCCGGCGGTGGCGCTGGTCTGACACCAGCCGGGGTCAGCGGTGGCGTCGGTCTGACACCAGCCGGGGTCGGCCGTGGCACCGGTCTGACACCAGACGTGGTCGGCGGTGGCGTCGGTCTAACACCAGCCGGGGTCGGCGGTGGCGTCGGTCTAACACCAGCCGGGGTCGGCGGTGGCGTCGGTCTGACACCAGCCGGTCGGCGGTGGCGCCGGTCGGCCGGAACGGCAGTGTCATCCCTTCAGCTGGCGGCGACCTCGGCCGACCAGCCCACTCAGACGGCCAGACGACCTGGCCGCGACCTGGCCAGCCGTCTGGCTCCGTGTGGGCGGGATCGGTGCGTCGACCGCCGCCAGCCACGGCCGTGACACACACGAAACGCCCGGGATGGGCCGCTTTGGGCTGCGTTCAGCCAGACAGTCAGGACGCTGGGCGAAATCCGGCTCGGCTCGCCACGGAGTCGAAAACGTCAGGTTTCTCTCACGCCGCCCGCGCCGGCGCGGCGCGGCCGTCCGGCGGCGGCGCGGCCGGCGGGAGCGGCAGCCGGACGGAACACGTGTGATTATATCGCGTTCGCACGCGGAACGAGTTACGAAACAGGGCGGGCGGAGCTTTACTGTTCCAGTGTTACGCTTCTGTTATGATGCCATGAGTGTTGACTTCAAATATGAACTCGTGTTCCATCTAGCAGAGAAGCAATGCTTTGTGCCCGTTTGGCAGGCGTTAACATTTGATTGTTATTCCAGCGGACGTCACTTTGTGATCATCCTTTGTGTTCGCATGAGCTGATATCAGCACGAAGCCTACATTATGGAGCAGGAAAATTTCGCAGAGGGTTGCTCTCATGTCAAACTAAACATTTCTGTCATCGCCAGCACTGAAGGTTCCATCATCGAACATAAGTGCGCCTGGTTACACGGACGGGATACTTCCTCTAAATGCGAGCCGAGTTGCTATTCATTCAGTGATGACATGGCTATGACGTAATAAAGGGCATTTGTTGTTGTAACATAGTAAAAAAAATGTGAGAAGCTTGCTGTGCCTCACTGCAGTGTGATGCAGGCAGCGCACGGCTTTCTCCGCTCTGTCACGTGATTGCATGCTGTTGTCCAGAGCTGGTGGTCAGCGTGGACGTCGAGATCGACTACACGTTTCCCTCGTCGTCGGCTTCGGGGAAGAGTGGTCTGAACCGCATCTCGCGACTTCTGTATGACAAGCAGACGATCTACTCCGGCCTCGAGACGGCGTTTACCAGGTAAGGAGCACTCTGCCCCAGCGTCGCCGACACCAACATCGACTATTGCATGCCTCGTGCTGCGGCGAGAACTATTCAGAACAAATGTGAGAACAACGCGAAATGTGGTACCGGGATCAAACAATGTCGAAAAGCCGGTGACAGAAGTAGTGGTAACCGAGACTTGAATTTGCATTACTTTTTGCCTAGAGTCCATTTAAATATACATCATCACCTTCCTTACTGCCCGGAGAATCGGTTCCATCGTCTACGAACTGCATTCTACAAATATCAATGGGACAAAAGTATATTATGGTCATATTATATTTCATTACCAGCCTCACATTATCGTCGTTTTCGTCGATTGCTACAAAACAGAACCGCCATACTAGTTGGCATGCCATGCAGCCATGGCAGTCTTATTCGGCGGAAGCCGTCCAGGCCTTGCAATGTTTAATATGGCACATGGGATTCGCAGCTCGCATACCGGATCCATTTGCGCTTTGCGTCAAGCGTGTTTGCAATCGATGACCGCGAGTGGATGTAAAACCTTGAATGCGCAGTACAGGGCGTCCGGCCGCCGCGTTTGTTTACATTCACACCAGGCCAGCGGTGCTTCGCGGTTCTTTATAGGCGTCACAATTGATTCGCTTGCGTCATGCCTGCGCTGACCTGCCTCCGGTGACCGCCGCAGGTTCGGCCTGAACGGCCGCGCCTGCACTCTGAGGGCCATCTGCGAGGTGGGCGAGACTCCAGACCACCAGGACGGCCTGCTGGGAGACCTGCTGGGCTACCTGCTCTCGTGAGTCGCGCACGCGTGGGCGAACACCACAAGCATCGTGAACTCAGACCACGGCCTGTTCTGTCCACAGTCCACGGCCTGTTCTGTTCGTAGTGCACCGCCTGTTCTGTCCACAGTCCACAGTCTGTTCTGTTCGCAGTGCACCGCCTGTTCTGTCCACAGTCCACGGCCTGTTCTGTTCGTAGTGCACCGCCTGTTCTGTTCATAGCGCATAGCCTGTTCTGTCCAGTCCACGGCCTGGTCTGTTCGTAGTGCATAGCCTGTTCTGTCTACAGTCCACGGCCTGTTCTGTTCGTAGTGCTCCGCCTGTTCTGTCCACAGTCCACGGCCTGGTCTGTTCGTAGTGCACCGCCTGTTCTGTCCACAGTCCACGGCCTGGTCTGTTCGTAGTGCACCGCCTGTTCTGTCCACAGCCCATGACCTGGTCTGTTCGTAGTGCACCGCCTGTTCTGTCCACAGTCCACGGCCTGTTCTGCTCGCAGAGCACATATAGCCCTGACCATAGCCCTACGGCATATTTCGCCCATTGCCCATCATCCGTCTTGTCCACGACTGGTTCTCTTCACATCCCGCGGCCTGCCTTGTTACTGGGGCGGAGGGAGGGGTGGGGGGGGGGGGGGGTGGGGGGCTGGGGGTGTAGGCTGGAGAATGGTTGTTCTCGTCACCCTCTCAAAAATGCGGCTTTAGCCGTTCATGGCATATCCACCGTATAGCTCTCATCAGTGCCGCTAGGGGACGGCAATCCGAGAGAAGGCCCGACCCACCGCCCTCACCCGCCCGCCGACACGCACAGAGACTGCCCTTGGGTCAGAGCAGCTCTGTGCGTGTCGATCAATCGCGTGGCGCACCGGCCTCTACCGCTCTGCTTATTTGTGGTGTCAGTTGTGACGATGACTCTCGGGCGCCTGGCACTGCCGCGTGCCGGCCTCTGGCGTGTCGGTTGTCTAGTGCGCGGACGCTCTGATGTGTCGCCTCTTGGATACACTGAGTCTAACTACACTGTGCCGACCCATGCCGTGCTGACTCTGCTGATTCTGAGCTGCGCCAGCGTGTAGTGTACTGCGTGCCTATCCTGCGCTGTATCGGTCCGTAGTGTGCTGACCTGCTGCTGACCCCGTGCCGTGATCCAGGGCCTCCTACGGCGTAGGCCGGCGCTCAGAGCTGAAAGAGTACTACCAGGCTGAGTACTACGGACGGAAGTACGGCCACTGCGCCTCCGCCTTCCACACCTGCCCCATCTCCATCTTCGCGCTCGTGTCGGCGGACGAGGCTGACGCAGATGGGAAGGACGAGGAAGCGCGGGACGATGATGAGAAGTGACCGCGGCTGTGGCGTCGCGACGCTACTCCGGACTGCGGTTATGATGTCACGCAGCTCCCGGGAACAGCGGTCATGGTGTCATGCCGTTGCTACGTATCGCGGTCATGGTGTTATGCTGTTCCTCCGGACGGCGGTCGTGGTGTTATGCTGTTCCTCCGGATTGCAGTCATGGTGTCATGCTGCTCCTCCGGATTGCAGTCATGGTGTCATGCTGTTCCTCCGGACGGCGGTCGTGGTGTTATGCTGTTCCTCCGGATTGCAGTCATGGTGTCATGCTGCTCCTCCGGATTGCAGTCATGGTGTCGTGCTGCTCATTCGGACAGCGGTCATGTGGTGGTGCCGCTCCTCCGTGCCGCGTCTGTGGTGTCACGCTGCTGCTCCGGACCGTCCAGAAGGACAGAGAGAAAGAGAGAGAGAGAGAGAGAGAGAGAGAGAGAGAGAGAGAGAGAGAGAGAGAGAGGGGGGGGGGGGGGGGGAGGGGGGGGTGAGAGAGAGAGAGAGACAGAGAGAGGGGAGGGGGGGGGGACAGACGAAGGACGGCGCCGGGCCGTGGTGATGTCGCAATGTTCAGGTACAGAACGGAGCAGCTAACCAGCGAAGGTCGATGACGCTGATGTAAAGCCCATCAGTGGGTGACACGTGGACGCAGTTCTGTACAGGAAGGCGATTGTCTCCGCATGAGTTGTTCTGATAGCCGACGTTTACGGGTTAAACGCTGTGCGTGTATGCTTGCGCGGGAGCGCCGTACTTCTACCAAATTCGGCAGGTACCGGCATTTCGCAAGTGGAGGTGAGGACTATCGCTGTGACTCGTCACTAGCGATGTTGAATGTGTACTTCATGGGCAAATAATGAAAGACGCTTCTAGGTTTGTCAAAATAATCAACCCAAGATATTGCCAGAATTATTTAGGAAGCGCATTCGTTTTCAAGCTGTTATACAAGCCTGAAACCCGAATTTCTGCGTGGCTGTGACGCCACACTGATCATCCAGAAAACCGCTGGAGAGGACGGGAACATTGCCACCCCTCGTTACCTGTTTTTGAATAATTCTTGGCGGATGGCATCGGCGGGTAAAAACGTGTCACGCTTCGAAACGGAGCTGCTGGCATCTGTTTTTTATTATTTAAGTGGCTTGAACAATTGGTGACAGTTCATGATAACATGATGTTGGGGACTTGCTCCTATTTTTGGTATTGCTGTATATCATGACCCCTGTAGCGCTGGCCTCAGGCGCATTTCATGCGGTCAGCGTAAGTCAAGCCAGATTATCATTGCGGACGGTCAACCCAGGTTATGCGGATGCTCTGGGTAGGGCTCTGCCAGGACTGAAATGAAGCTGAGTTGTGGCTGATGGCTGCAGCCTCCTCCGGAGAGACGTGGGATGACGGATATACAGGACGGAGCGGTAGGGAGGAAACGGGGAGGCCGAAAGAGAGAGAGAGAGAGAGAGAGAGAGAGAGAGAGAGAGAGAGAGAGAGAGAGAGAGAGAGAGAGAGAGAGAGAGAGAGAGAGAGTCTGTGTCTGGTCCTGGGCCTTAGTTTGATTCTGGACCGATGGTTCTCCGATCGGTGAAAGGGACTCTTAGTTCAAATGAAAAATCAGTAGATCCCTTAAATCAGAATCCCAAAGGTCACGGCTTCGAGTCCAGCTGGGGTAAGCCCAGGTCCATCTCTGGTGTACAGGATGTAATGAGAACCGCTCAGTTGCATTGCACACCTATAGCATTACATTTAAGAATCGCAATTTATCATTTTAATAAGGATCATTGCACACATCACGTCATAGGGAGTGTGGCATTGCTGCGTGTCACTGAAAGAATGCATTGACATCTACCCACGCTGATTTGATGTAGTTCATTGGATTTGTGTCCAGAGTGAGAAATACTGACCAATTGAATGACTTGA